TTATACAAGTGAACAAACAATTGATCTGTCACCAACAGTTTACCTGTTCCATTTTAATCAGGAAACAATCTATGAAATCTCGAGGATTGTTAATGTCCAAGGAGTCTTGGTGTTCTTTCACTTTCTCCAAAATAGAAGTTTTTAAATAATCAATATTCTCCAGTATTTTGTTATGACTCCCTGGAAAATAATCCAGGAGCACAGGGAAAGCATTACAGATCTAAAGAAAGAGAAACATTTTATTAAATAAATAATATCTCACGTGTACATCTTATCCAGGAGAAGGATGAGCAATCTCTTCCCATGCAATGAATTGCCTCTGAAAACCCGCTGGAGGGTCAGCTGTGGGTCAGTTCCGGCTTTACAGTACACAACAACAACAACCCACCTTATTCAAGCCCTAGTTAGAAACTCGTCTATGAAGACAAATAATCAATAATTTCTAATTAGAAGGGAATACTTTTACTGTATATGTGAAATAATTCTCTATAATTACAGAAAGATACAGACAGAAAATTCCAACAGAAGAGCCAAGATGATAATTGTTTCCTATACTTGTATATAATTTTAAGAGAGTAAAACTGCCTTTAAAGACAATATGACTTTTGCAATTAGCAAATAGGAACAAGCTATGTATAATTATTCAGAAGGGGAAGGAAAAAAGGAAGGAGAGATGTGGGGAAAAGGGAAGGGGAAATAGTAATAGATTATATAATTCTATAATAAACAAAGATATATGAATGAATGTATTTAAAGCCACAATATACATAAGTTTAAAAACCCCATTTATTAATAGTAATAAATTCTATATAAAAATCTTGTCTTTATAGTAATCCTCTGTTTTTTCCATGGATTCTTCCCTAAAATTGTGAAATAGAGGACATATAAGAATAAGTTAGCATGGTTCATATTTTGTTGATGAAAACATAGGCTAACCTGAAATGGAGCACAAAGCTAGTTGTAACTGCCTCTGTCCTCTCAAACAATATAAGAAACAGTATTAATTGTTTGGAAGTGGGATGGGTTTGAAATTATTAAGGCCCCCAACACAGAGTGTCATAGATAAAATAGTTATGCAAAGAGCATGTTAGTCAATATTCTCATTGTCATTTAGGCAGAGCATATGCAGAATGTACCAACTCTGTGTGAAGGGAAAATGTGATTTGTGTTTAGGAATTGAACTTCATCACTTTGTCATCCCTAACTGCCTGATCTATGGAACCACAGCTGAAGCATCAAACAGCTTTCTGTTAATAAGCCCTTCCTGTGGTAGCGCCGGTGCTTTCAAACATCCTAACTCCTATATATACTGAATTAGGATATTTCTGCCAAGTAATCCGCTGAAGTGGTCACTAGGTATTTATTGGAAATAGCCTCGTGTGTAATGGAAACCTTTCAACAAGGGACTTGCATCGCCTTTGATTACTATGTCTATACTTTTTGGCAGTCGTTAAAATACCTTACAAAAACTGAATTTGAGATTTAGTGGGAAACATGATTTGACAAAGAACTCACAGGTTTCGAGCACATTACTTTCAAGTTTTTAAAATGAAGGGTTAAGTCCTTTATCTTTTGGTGATGTTCATGCCACAATCGTAGTTATCTAATGCTGTTATAACAAAAATGCTACAAATGTGTTATTTTAAGAGAAATCTATTTTCTCACAGTCTAAGAGGCTTTGGTCTGAGTTCAGGATGCCAGCTCTAGGAAAATGCTTTCCTTTTTATCTGCTCTGTAGGAAGACTCTTGTTTATACGAGATTCTGTTTCTGACAATATTCTTGTGGCCTGGCATTTTTCCTTTCCATCTCTGCTTGATCACGTTTATTATTTAATCTCTTTTATGAAATGACTTACAAAAATAAAATTTTGGAAAAGGGCTAGAATTTATACTACCTTATTTGGGAGGCACAATTCAATCCATAACAAATCTGAAGCAGGAATTTTGTGCTTGAATTTTATAGCTTTACCTATATAGAATTTTGCATTTATCAAAGATGAAGCACAAATGATTTCAGGAATTAACAATCTTGCTCTTACCTGTACCCATGGTGTGCTTTGAATTTTGGCATTTTCATTGACTTTTCCCATCAAATTAAGAAAAACTTGGTCTTTGTAATCAAAATGATGATGGAAAATAATGGAGCAGATCACATTGGAGGGAGCACAGCTCAGGATGAAAGTCGGGTCACAGGGTAAGGCTAAAGAATTAGAATTAATTTTTTAAATACCATTAAGATATACAAATACTTTATAGT